GCAGAACAGATTGTGAAGGCATCAGACAGACTTCTTTGACTTTGACTCTGCCTGGCAACAAGTGACGTCTGAAATGTGATTGGTCAAACGCTTTAATATGAAAATCCACATGTGGAAGCAGCACAAGGATCGGAAAAGCTCTGAAAGGAAGAGGACAGAACATTGGAATTATTTATTTGTGATTCAGAGATATTTTTAGGCCCTGACGCACCGCCACTGCTTAAAGATACATTGCGTAACTTTTCTGGTGTATGGTCCGTCATGTGCTCGTCTCCGTGGAGATGTGATTTCTTTGCCTGGAATGTTCCACGGTTCTCGCGTTTATTCATCCCGGTTGTTTCTTTCGCTCAAAAATGCATTCATTCTCTCTGTCAGATCTGACCTGTAATGGAGCATATAGTTGTCTCTAGGTTTAATTTCTGACATGGAACATTCTAGACAAAGCAACAACATGTCCAAGAAAACAAAAAATAATAATGAGCCCGGTCAAGCAGAAGTAAACAACAAGGCCAAAAATTCAAGTTAATTCATCTGATATAAAAATGTATTGAACAGATACATATGTACTCTAGTTTATGAAACTGTTGACCTTTTTTCTGTACCATTTTTGGTTTTAAACAGACCATGTATGAAACATGGAACAAAAATTATTTCCCAAATTTCAAAGACCTGCAAATCATGTAAATAAATGGATGTATTTCATCATATCTTGTGTTATTCCATCTTTAAACTGTTGATGAAGGTACATGATTTTTACAAAAAAATTTATTTAAAATGACAAAAATTTGCTTGGAAGGACTGACATATTTTATAGAAATAGTTTCCTTTTATTTTATTTTATTAAAGTATTCGGAAGAAAAAAGCGACAAATGATGTAAAATCCTGCACCTTCTACTTGTTTGCACAATTTTCCCTCCGTTACTTTTCCCTCTGTTACCATGACCTTCCTAAATAAAAAATCTCATGACTCAAAAAGTAAGAGGTTTTTCAACCTAATCTTGTACCATATGGTAGAAAACTATATGAAGCAAATATTCAAACCAGTTTGTTAAGGATATGTAAGTGAGAACCAAGAGTTATCACTGTTTGGATTTATTGCCCAAAAAGTGCTGCATATTTCATTCCCTCCGTTACCGACATGAGTTTTTAAATTTTTTATCAAAAACTTGAAAGAATATCACAGGTTTAACTTGACCCTGTTGGAGTGTAACTCTTTCCTACATTCTGATACTTTACTTATTTCAATAGTTCCTCTAGTTTCTGAATAAGAGACATTTGAATGTCAAAAATCTGCCTGTTTCCCTCCGTTACAACTTGACCGAACCCCAAAACTAAACGCAGAAAAAACGACTCAGACACAGCATGTTTGTAACAATAAACTATTATTTTTTCATATTTACATTTGTACCTAATGTGCAAATTAATCATTTAAAGTGTAAACTCTGAAAGGAATACAAAATGATATCTTACAGTCCTGATATGAGTCCATGGTTCTGTCGTACACACACAGGGACAGAGACAGAAGCAAACCCAGGAGCGGTGCACAGCCTCGGCCTGGACACACCGACACCAGGGACGTCCAGGAAGTCGACCCCCAACAAACGCACACCTGCACAACACTACAGTATGTCTATCGTTTGTGCGGCAAAACGTCTGTAACAGTCTTTAGTAACTTGATTTTAATTAATATTTTATGTACCAACACAGACTTTTCCACAGCCTCAGACCATTTCTCTTCACTAGTTTTGCAGAGTTTTGCTAAAGAACGGAAATGATGTTGTGTAATTTCGGCAAAAATAATAATTCATAATTTCAGAAATACACTCGCACAAAGAAAATACAAACTTTGTGTATAATTTTCTGTCAGTTTTGAGGCTGTTTAACATTTTGAGGAATTTGAGAATTAGCCTGATTCATGAGCCGGTTTCGCTTTGTTTCACTACATAGAAACCTCGCAGCGTTGGAATTCGTTCGACTTGACGGTAGGCGGGTACTTTTTAAATTTAACCAGTCGCTGCTGTTTGGTCGTCACAAACTCATGTTTGTGCAACACATTTGACATTTTCACTGTTTTGAGGATTTAAATGTTTGTGTTTCATATTTACTTCGCGCAAGAAGTGGTTTAACAAAAGACGTTTAGTTTCACAGCCATGATTTTAGACATTATTTTATACTGAACCGATTCAAATCGATTTGAAATAGATCGTATCGAACCGAAAGTGCACGGTATCGAGATATGTATGTACAGTATGTATGTAGGCTAGTTTTTCCCAAATCCCGTAGGAAGAAGAACAATAACGTCTTTCCCCTTGATAAAATTCACCAAACATTCTCTTTGTTCCGGCTTTAAATCCTCGATCTCGGGAATCGTTGACAACACAGAATGTCTGGCTCTTCACTGATTGGCTGGTGCCCGAACTCGCACTTTTGGGTTTTTGCGAACCGTCTAGTGTTTTCTTATTCCTGACCTAGTCGCTGGAGAGAAATGAAATTGAGCGGATGCACTAGGTGGCAACAGCCTGACTAGAAAACTGAACGAAATACAAACGTGTCGTATAATTTTCTGTCTGTTTTGAGGCTGTTTAACATTTTCAGGGGCTGGACGACGTCATGGGGCGAAAATAAAAACCCCTAATATCTTAAGAAACATAACCGCACCAATGAAACCTTTTGCGGCACAAATAAAATACAAAGATTTCGTAAAATTTTCTGCCTGTTTTTCGGGACCGGATGGACGTCAATGGTGGAAAATAAAACCGTTAATATCTTAAGAACATCTTAAGAACCATAATCGCACAAACGAAACCTTTTTGCAGCACAAAACAGCTCAAACAAAATACAAAGATTTCGTATAATTTTCTGACTGTTTTGAGGGGCTGATTGGCCGAAAATAAAACCGCCAATATCTTAAGAACCATATTTTGTGTCGTTTTGGTGCATTTTGAATCTTCCTGGAGGCTACTGACTCCAATTTGACCTATAAAAGAATTGTTAATATCTCCAAAACTAAAGCAACACAAACAAAACTTTCTGCAGCACAAACGACCGACATAGTTTTTTGTTTTTTTTTGTGCAGGTTTGCGTTTGATTCGGGTCCGACTTCACGGAGGTTCGCGAGGGCGGTGCCAGACAGTAGACTCCGGAGGGACAGTGGTGACTTCGTAGCTGGTTGCCGTGGTAACGTGTAAACTTCCGATGCCGTGAATCGACATAAACGGTTAGATTTTTGGGCTGTTTTAATTTTTACAAAGGACTACATTCGTGTTATTCAAGGACTACATTCATACTCCATACTCCCTACAACTGTACAACCACTCACCTTTATGTAACAGATAATACTCCCTACAACTGTGCAACAACTCACCCTTATGTAGCAGATAACCCTATGCCCTGTCAATCATCATATAATTTTTGCACTTTTTTCCCATGACCTTTTATATAACTGAGATTTTTTTGATTTTTTTTAGACTTGTAGATTTACATTTATATAATTATGTTTTATTTGACACCCGTCTCTTGCTCTTTTTTTTTGCCACTTATTTAGAATTTATTATCACTATTTATAGTTTTTTTTACTCTTTGTTATTATATTTATTGTGATGTGTGAGCTTCTGTGTCCAGATAATTTCCCTTGTGGATCATTAAAGTTTGTCTAAGTCTATGTCTAAAGGCAGCCACACACAACTGGATTTTTTGGTCTTAAATGATTTTTAAACGTGCGACAAAACGCGCAAAGCAAAGACACGAGGAGAATCTGCTGAGACTTAAAATCTCCGATCGCAAAGACTGCAGCGGGATCTGTCTGCGGACCACAGGATCTAAAGTTGTGAGCGAGATCGCGTCAGCTGCTTCCTGTAAGACGAGTCACTTTGAGACTCTTAAGTGTCAAAAGATCAGAGTTTAAACGCAAGTCCAAACTGTGGTATTATTATTTGTCAAAATGTGGTGCAAAACTTCAGATACGTGATTTTTAAAGCCAAGTCCCGGGGTTTCAAACTGGTCGACCATTCAAGTCAACGGGCCGAGCTCAGTGGCGTGTGATTCCGGATTCGCCTTTAGCCCGGTGAGGTTCTTCCGGTGGCGGTGGGCCGATTGAGCATGTGCAGTGTTTTTTTTTTCCCACGGACACACGCCAATGCACACGAGCGAACACATGGAGTGCGGGCTTGTGTGTCACGTGATCGGTTTAGACCAGTGCTTCTCAATTATTTTCATACCCCCCTAGGAAGAATAAAACATCTCGCGCCCCGGGTGACTATAAATAGTATAATTTGTCTATAAAACTGTTATAAGTACACCTCTGCATAACACTGTATCCTTATTAACGTATAAGAGAATAAAAGTACTGAAGTAGCAGTCACAAAGCGGGATGATTGTCGGCAATATTCGGCACGTTTTCGCTGAAAAAACTCAAGCGGCTTATCAGAGTGATTGGGGTGTAATGTATTTAAGTGACGCCTTAATTTATTGGGCTTCATGCTGTCCGCTGCCAACATTTTTAGACACAGTAACACACCGGTCTTTCCTCGTCTCCCACCGTAGTCACAGTGAAGCCAAGCGCTACATACGCTTCGTCATATTTCCTCGTCTTAGCTTTCGGGAGATTTTCGTTTGTCTCTTTATCTCCGTCTCTCTCCACCTGTCTTCTCATCCTGTTAAATATGTTTTCATGGTGTCACTTGAGGGTCTGCTACACTTCGTGTCTACACTTCATACTCAAACTCTGTGCTGTGTGCAAAGCGCGCATGCTCAGTGCAAACAAAACTCCTACACCACCGAGCGAATGCTCCCTGCGCACACTCTGCCAATGAGAGCGCCACTGCCCCCTAATGTAGTGGAAGTGCAATTGCACTTTATTCTAGGACAGTAAAAAAAAATCAAAATAAAAAATAAAAAAGCATGTTCCCCGAGGTCAAACGCGCCCCCTTGACGGAGCCTCGCGCCCCCCCAGGGGGGCCCGCCCCACTATTTGAGAAGCACTGCTTTAGACTAACCAGAGCGACAGGAGTGAAGCAGAGTGGAGTTTTAAAGACAACTGAAGGATTTTGAGCTGAGAAAAAGTTTATCATCTTAAAAATAGGTAAAAATCGCCGAGCGGTTTGTGATTACATTGCCTCTATGAGAAAAATCCTCTCTCCAGTGAGTGTCACTACGTCAACTGGAGGCAGCTACAAGCAGCAACACCCTCCACTTATTTTAATACAGGGGTGTCCAAACTTTTTTCATCAATGGCCACATATCTAAACACAGATGAAGCAGAGGGCTGGTTGAGTGGCTGTAGACTGATACTCAATACAGTGAATAATTGAAATATGTGCAGGTTTAACACGTTAGAATGAGCCATCAGACTTTAATCACGCTAAGATCCTTTAAACCACACACTAAATATTAAACATTAGCTTTATCAAGGTAGATTTTCAAAAAACTTGCAGTAAAAACTAAATGTTTAATTGATGCAAGGTAATTTGGGCCAATTCACCTGGAAGCCTGAGGGCCAAGAAAAAATTGTCTGAGGGCCGCATTTGGCCCACGGGCCATAGTTTGGACATGCCTGTTTTAATAGATCCATGTTTAAAGCATAAAAGACTGGAGATAAAGTCCACAGGAAGTTGACTCACTATCGCGAATCTGCAGCTTCAGCTCGATCCGTGCGCTGTGTGGATAAACAGACACACGTGAGGAACTACTCCGGCCTTTTTACTTTTAAAGAACGAGTCGAACTGGATTAACAGCACGGTTTTGTGAACTGGGGGTCATTATTTGCAGAGGACAATTTCTATGGACAAAGTAGATGAGATGCTGAAGTATAAATTTACAACTTTACGAGAGTTGAGTCTCCGTCTAACCCTGACGCTCTGTTTTATCGGCTGTTATCGTAGAGTTGTTGATATTTAGTGGTTACAATCTGACAAATGAGCGCAGCAACTTTAAAATCACACACAAAGACACAAAATCGGGCAAATTCTCCTGTAGTGTGTGGCGGCCTTAAGTCTTATTTCAAGGTTATTTTATCTTTATTTTATTTTAGATTAGATTAGTAGGTGACAAATCCAACGAGGTTCATTTGGTCTTCCGTTACTTTATGTTATGAGGTTCTTTTTTCAGACCTAGAGCGGTCACGTGATGTTGCTGTGATGTGTCCGGTCAGCTGATTTAAACAGGTTCTGGCGTGGTCTTCCTACGGAACTCGAAACTGTCAGGTATGAAAACAAACTCTTGGTCTGAAAAAAGAAAAAGAAGAAGAATGCTTAGACATGAACCCAGACCTTCCCCTAATGTCACAGGATATGCTTTTCTCGTTCCTGATATTGAAGCCTCACGTGAAATAATTTGAGAACTTCCAGAATTCCAGCAGATGATCCACGATTCGCTGCAGGTTCTGGGGTTTAGGGAGCGACCGTTCGGATCATTAAGAGCTATTTTAGGTTTAAACCAACTCGATTTAAGCACTGAAACTGGCAACCTAAATAAGAGAATCACGTGAGGCTCACTCTGCGTCGGATTGGATCATTCTTTAGAACCAAAACACCAATTTAACATTAACAACTTGGCCATCGTGCGTGTTTTTGTAATTAAGAAACTCTGGCTACTTGAAGTTTAACTGTCCTTTTAACGATTCCTAAACTCAACCAAACCCTGACCGTGACCATTTCCCAAACCTCAACCACGGAACCAATTTCCAAACCTAAATTAAAACTCTTTTCCTAAACTTCCACCACAGCAGACCGTCCCTCCAGAGCGTATTATCTGGCGTTACCCTTTAAGACAACAGGGCACACGCGCCCACAGAAACACGGGCTCTGCGTCGCGATCCTACGTTCGACCGTATAAAGATAAATATACGGTCCGTGGTCGGCGGTGGCGGTGTGAGCCTCGGCCTGGGCAGAGCTGTGGGCGCGAAGGCTGGAGGCGCTCGGAGCAGCAGATTCGTTTGTTGTACAGGAGAAAAAGAGAAGAGACGTCCTCACGGGGGACAGTGATTCTACGTGAGGGTCGACATACGAAGTACTCTCCACCGGGACACGACACAGCGGAGTACGGGGGGTCTCACGGGGTTCGATCGTGGCTCAGAGCAGCGTTCAAATAGGTTTCGTTCACGGTCAAAGTTCAAAAGAAGGTTTATTGGTACTTTCTCTGGGGTTCTGATGCTTACCGAAGGCTCTGCTCTGTCTGAAGCTCTGTTAGTCAAGTTAAGCTGTAGTTAGGGTGACCAGATTTTCAAAATAAAAACAAAAAACTGGGGTGTTTGGTAATAATAAAACTGTGAAACGTGTGCGTAATTAAGGAAACTTGTTGATTTTTCACTCATGACTTAGCTGTGAGTCAGTATAGTCACATTTTCTTTGTGTTTTGGTCATTTTTAAGCAGCTTTTTTGTTATTTTACCTCAACAAGTGACAATTCATGCCTCTCTTGACTGTTTGGAGAGATCAAATTGGTCAAAAATTAGGACAAATGGGACATTTCTTGCATAAATCTGCTGGGACAGGGGACACGGGGCTCCAAACTGGAACTGTCCCGGGTAAATAGGGACGTCTGGACACCGTAGCTGTAATCTGGGCTTTGTTTTCATAAAAATCTGACCAGAAAGAGCTGATTTTAGCTGGAACTACAACAGGTGATCTACAAGGTGCCTACAAATATCCATACAGCTTTATTAAAACACTTGAAAACGCTGCTACTACACAGCTCTGTTATAGTTTTATGGGTAAAAAAGGGTTATAGGTGAGTTTTTAGTAAATTTATAGTCAGTTATATCATTTAGGGTGAAAAAAAAACAACAAAAAAATCAACCCCACATATCGGCAGAGCTGTGCTGGATTCAAAACAATCTAAAAACCCATTTTGTTTTGCCGTTTTGTCCAGTTAGGCACACTGTTGGATGAAAACCACGTAGAAGAAACTGCCCGGGACCACCCCGATTGTTTCTCTGTCATGGTCATGGTGTAATATTAGAGTGAAATGAACCGTGAGCCCCATCATGGTTCAAAATTGAGTACAGGGCCTTTGATATAATTGACTCTATTCACGCTTACGTCACAAAACCGGAAGACGTTTGGAAACATGCGGATGATGACGACTTCCTTTGGGCTCTGTTGGCGATAGAAACTCTGACAAAATCTGGGAAAACTGGTCTAGATGTCACTGGATTCTTCCTTTTTTCCTTATAATTTGTCTCACTTCTGTTCCGTTATGTTCAGCAGACCCACAGGTACAACCAACTGTCTCTAAGGCTAAGTTCAGACTGCAGCCTGAACGGACCCACATCTGATTTTTTCGCTCCTACGCTCCTGTATCTGATCTTTTAATGACAGTCTGAACGACACGGATCCGATTTTTTCAAATGCGACCCAGACCACTTGGATATGAGCTCGTAAAACTGATAAATATCTGATCTTTTGACATCGCTGTATTCAGGACAAATTGGAGGAGTCTTATCAGAACGGGGCGGTTTTTGAAATGATTGCCAAAGAAATGTCCGAGCGCGGCTACAAGCGGTCCTGGCTCCAATGTCAACGAAAAATAATGAGCGTGCGAGCCAAAAACAAAGAGGATAAAGACTCAAACAAACGAAGCGGCCGTGGATGTTTAACCTGTCCATTTTACCAAGAACTGGATCGGATTTTGGGAGACAATCTTTGTGTCCTCCAGTGCGCATGCGAGACACTTTTAGGGAGCTTAATGTTTACACTGGAAATCACATACAAGTCAAGTTTAATTGGAAATGTGAACGACCTCGCAAAAAAAATCATATTTCACAAAAAAATCTGTAGCCTAAGGTTATGTTTACACTGAAATGAATCATCGTATCGGAAACAATCTGCGTCCAGACACGTTGTTTCTGTGTCCACGAGCCTTCCCTATCCATACATATTTGTTTACGCTTTACAGAAACAAAACTTAAAACCATATGACTCATTTGCATAAACTAAGATCATAAACCCAGATCTTTCCTTTTGTGCTGATGTGGTTCAGCTTCTGTCGGACTAAAGGACACGACTCAGTGGAATATGAGTGTTCTCTCTGTGACAGAGGGGTGTTCTGCTGATGGTGAGTCTGTTCTGTGTTTCTGTCGCGTTGGAGATGGTTCATGTTAAACTTTTCAGACATTATGGACATATATTCTAGCCTCTTAGTGTTTTGGAGGTGAATTACTTCGCGGCGCACAGACCTCGACGCAGATCCAAAAATCAAAAACGACGATGACACAGCGATGGCGTCGACGCAGAACTAAACTACTACGTACTCATAATTTACGAGTAACATGCTTTGAAACCATGTGTAACTTATATCGAACTTATCTCCAACGCATATTGACATATGCAGACGTATTTGACATGTTCTGACGAATACATTGAACTTTTCAGGGATTATACGTCTGCAGGTCGTACGCACAGACCGAGCATGAAAACAGTCTTTTCGTGGACCATGTTCTAACAAGTAGTTCTAGTTACGCTGTTTCCCGTTTGTCTCTGGTTTGTTTAAACTGTTTTCCGCAATAGCGTCACATGACCGATGTCACGAACCCAGCGAATCACAGTGACGTGGTCCAAAAAGGACACAATTAGAGCTCCTACGTCAGAGTATCCGTGTTTTCAGGCGTCCACACAGTGCCGGATCAGATCTGTACTCAGATAAATTCGTGGGACCAGATCGTTCTGTCTGTGGAGCTGTTTTCCGTCGGATTAGTGTGAACGAAAACTGCATCCACAACGAAAACAACTCGAATACAAACTAGAGTGTGGATGGGGTCTAAGTGACATTGAAAATCCCCCCTGAAAAGCTTTGACAGGTTGTAAAGACGCTGCTGCTGAATCCACGGTTTTATCACATTCCCAGTGTTGGTAACTCCACCGGAAGTCGTCATCCGCATGTTTCCAAACGTCTCTTTCCGGTAAGTGTGAATAAAACCTACTGTATTCACCGGATCTATGGACACAAAGCAAAAACCGACAGAAAATTGAAAGCGTCAGAACCCACATACTACAGTTTTTCTTGTTTTTATCTTGTTTCTGGCTCGATATAAAGCCACAAGATTAATATTGGACATCCAAACATTAATCAGTTTCAGTTATGCCTTCCACAAACAGTTCTACGAGCCAGTGCCCTTCTTTTTAAACAAGGAAATTCTTTTACGTGAACGCAACCTTCGTCTGCTCAGAGCCACAGATGAGCACGTCTCGGACTGCGGGCATTGTTTGGATTCACAAATTGCCATAAACTTTCTTTGGATGGAGAGGAGACTGGAACAAGAGACCCACAAAAACACACAGGGCGGACATTTTGTTATAATCTGGCAGCTCGGTGTGAGAGCAGAGGTGGATATGACACATTCTAATTGAACACTGATAATGCTTAACACATCATTACCCCGTGCGTCAGGTTTAGTTTTACAAAATCACACTGTGACAATTTTTAGACAATTTACAAGACAGAGCGACCTACAGAAGTTACAGTACTGGTGCATAGACAAAAACTGGGACGGGTGTAGCAAAAACCACCAATTTATTGCTTTAATCTAATATTAATCTCGCAGTGAGATTTTTATGATTGCAAAACAACTACAAATTTTCCACAGAGATGTTGAAGACCTAAGCAGAGGTATTGCATTGGAACGGATCCCTTTAAAGGTCCGATATTACGCAAAACCGACTCTAAACCGTGTTATGATGTCGTTATCTCATCAAAAACAGACCTGGAGTTGTGTTTTGTTTCATTCACACATGTTTTGAGGACTGTATTTTCTGCCCTCTGGATTATAAGGTCGTTGATTGGTCTATTTTTGAACTTTTTTTTCACAAATAAACCGCACCGGACTTTAAAGGAAACACAACAGCTGGATGGGTCAGTGGGACTTTGTTTGGCGCGTTCACGGTGACTCTGGGCTTTTGTCTGGGCTTTTTCCATAATCGAGCAGCTCCAGGTATGTCTGTAATTTCTAAAGTAAAAATTTCACCACAAATTGTAACTGAGCGTCTTTTCTATCTCTTTCTTTTCTTTTTCAGTCTCTGTGTCAGTGTCAGTAAAAGTAGAGTAATTTACGAACTTCGCTTGGTGCGGTGGTGCGGCAGTTTGCAAATTACCCAGACGTCCCCGGGTTGTACTTATCCCGTGCGAATGCTCCGTTCCACCCAGTGATGTCATGAAGCAGCAGTTTTCAAGTCCCCTTTAGTTCAGTAGAGACTGGCAATTCCAGGACTGAAATTATCCAATTCTAGTGGAGTTTAAAAACACAGTGGAGCATTTCCTGTATTCCCACATGACATCACAAGGTGGAACTGAGTGTTTTCTGTTTGGGAGAAGAACCAAGAAGCCTAAATGTGCAGGGTTTGTGTGTTAAATGTGTGAATGAAACAAAAAAACACAACTCCAGGTCTGTTTTTTTGACAAGGAAACATCAAAACACAGATCAGAGAAAAGCGTAACATGGGCCCTTTAAAATGAAAAATACACAACTTTCTCTCAAATTTGTTAGATTACATAAGAGACAATTAACTTTTACTCTAAAACAAGTAAAAGACTAAATCGGATGAGACAAAAACAGAGGAGCACAGGTTTGGCCAAAGAAGTCGCTCACTGTGTTATGTTCTGCTTCCACCGTCTGAAATAAAAAAGATTCCTAACAGAGACGGGATACAGACACACGAGCGCTCTTTAGACACACACACACGTTTCCCATCACGTGGTCCCGACACGGAGAGCCCAGCGCCCGTCACCGGTCTCCTGCGCCCGTCCCGCGGTTGTAACTTGGCCAGCCAGTCCAGTCCATGTAAAGTGTTGGTTTGATTTTGTCATGAATGTTGCACGCACAGATTGTATAAAGAAGTGGACTAAGGGAGTGTGACGTCGAAATGAAACTCAAGAGAAAAGTGATTATGGGGCCAATTTGGAGCCGAGTTATATATTGAAAATAGAAATCGATTTACAGACTAAGTAGCAAAATAAAAACACCAGGATCATGTAGAGCGGGTTAATACAAACATTTTAAGAGGAGCCTGACAGCAGCAGTTACACACCGAGGATTGAATTCTATTGATTGTTCAGTACAAACTGAATGGGAGCCAGAGTCGATGGAGCTGGAAGGACGCCCGTGCTCACTTCCTATTTGGACCCTGGATCCACACTTAAGGTCCTTGACAAAAAGCCCAGACACTGGCACCACTGTGAAATTTTAAAGAAACATAACCTACTTAACTCTGAAAATGTTACCAATTTTAATAATCTTAAATAATTTCTTTTTTAAGTGTCTTAACTCTGATGTAAAACTGAATTCAGAATTTGCCAGGATCATAAATTGCCCACACAGAACTTTTACAAGAAGTGTTACCAGTGGTAATTGTGTTGTCCCAATGTAAAGGACAAACTCTTGGTCAGTTTCTTTCTCTGCCAAAGGGATCAGACTGTGGAACTGCAACCAGCCAATTTAAAACTGGCAACAAATTTAAACATAAATTAAAATGATTGTAGGTTTCCAACCAAAAATGCTCTCACTGAAAATGTGCTGTATATATCTTATGCATATGTAACATATGTGTCTTGTCTGTTTTTATGCATGTATTTTAAATATTTTTTATGTGGACAAGTGTTGCTTGCACAAAGCAAAACTTCTGGCTTGTCTAAAGCGATCGTGATAAACTAAATCTGTCTATTAATGCAAGAAACATCTGTCTGTGTGTCCTGTTTGTTTGTCTGTTCCACACATAACTCTCCAACCACTTAAATTTGGAGGGTGTCGTCCTAATGATACGGGGGTGTGCAGTGCCAAGTTTCATGTTGTTAGGGCAAGAAATGCCAAAGATATCAGTCAAAAACATGAATTAAATAAATAAATTAATTAAAAAAACATGGCAAATCTGTGTATCATTCATTTGTTTTTCAGAAGAAAACCAAAAATAAGAAAACCAAAAAAACAACTATTTTCTTCATTATTTCTCTCCAAAACCAAAATGAAAAAACAGATAATGATTCGATTTTTCAGTTTCCGTGATTTAAACTGCGATGCCAGACTTTTATGCTACATACGGACTAAACCAGGACTAAACAAGGTCTAAACCAGGTCTAAACCAAGACTCAAGTCCAAGATTAGTCCAAGATTAGACCTGGTTTAGACCTGGTTCAGTCCCGGTTCAGTCTGGATGTGGCACAAAAGTCTGACATCTCAGTTTAAGTCATGAAAACTGGAAAAAAAAAATCAATTGTTACCTGTTTTTTTCCATCTTGGTTTTGGAGACAAATAATGAAGAAAATTGTAATTTTTTTGTTTTCTTATTTTTGGTTTTATTTTGACAAACAAATGAATGAACGATACACAGATTACAGCGACGAGCGGGTTTGCCATGTCCATTTCTACACATTCTATGGTTCAAACATTATAAAATCCTTAAAATATCCAATTACGAGATTTTAATTGGGCCGTACGCGTTTGTATAATCGAGAAAACGCTGCGGGGAACTGGCTGGCCACGTCACAAACCCGGCTGATGGCTACGCGGGCCTCTCCCTCTCCCGCCGCCTCAGCTCCTCTCTGTAGCAGTACGAGCAGAAGTTGTCAGTTTCGGGCCTGCCGTAGAAGGAGCAGTTTTCACGTTTACACCGGCGCTGCTGAAACACGTACAGGGGGCTCCCGTTGCCGCGACCCTTCCCTTTGTCTTGGTTGAGCCAGGTGTGGGAAGTGTTGTCGTCGTCGGCGAACTCCAGACAGTCCTGTATGTCCCCGGCGTCGAACCCGTTGGTGTACGTGTGGGACAGCCCGTACGAGAGCGTCTCCATGGCGTTAACAGTGCGCACCCCGGACAGTCGCGCCGGGCTGTAGCTTTGGGATGACAGCGAGCGGTTCTGCTGAGGATATGTGGCGCAGGTTTTGAGCGTCCCCACCAGCGGCTTGTTGTAGGGCTCGTCGTGGAAGAGGGGCGATTGCAGGTTGACATCTTGTAAATGGATGACGCTGTGTCTCTGGATGGGCGGGGTGTGGCTGTAGTGAGCGGAAACCGGGATGGGGACTTGTTTTCTAGCACCGATACTTGGCGAGGAGTACGGCAAGGCGGGTAGGGTCGGGTGCGCGGCGGCGTGGTGGGGCGCGGCGGGCGGGGTTAAGGGCGGCACGGGGGTTAGTGAGGAAAGGGTCGGACTGTTTCGGCCCTGGTTTTGGGTCTTTAGCGCTATAGCGGGTTGCGGGTGGAAAGCGTTATGAGGCAGGACCGGGGAGCAGCTCTGCGGGGGCGAGCTGTCCGACCTGTCCCTCTGGAAGACACTCTCATGTTCTACCTTCTTGCTCGCCGTTTCGTTGGCGACCTGCGGCGGCGGCTGCGGCGGCTTCCTCTCCGCCTCCTTCCGTTTCTGCTCCTGCTCCTGGCTGAAGCGTTCTTGGGCGTTGCTCAGGTAGTAGCTGATCATTTCCTCGTGGAACTGATGGCGGTGACTGGTGAGGAGCAGCGCGGCGAAGATGAATTTTCGCTCGCCTTGCATCGCCGCCCGGAGGATGTTCAGACTCAGCTTGACGTCCGTGCTGTACTTCCAGTTGTCCAGGCTCTTGTCGCCGGAGCTCCGCCCGGAACTGTCCTGTCTGTCCGTGGGGGAGGAGCTCGAGGGGCGGTCCGTCGGGGAGGGACTCGTGGCCTTTTCCGATGACGTGGAGCTGGCCGAGTGTCCGGACTCATCCTTACTCCCTTTACTCGTCTTGGACTCCTTTTTCTTCGACGTCTTCTCTGCTCCGTTCTCACCGTTGCGACCTGAAGAAAGGGACGTCGACATTTTTAAGTTAATCATCCACACATCCCGTAAAAACTGCGACGCCGTGCTGGGTCCAGAGACAAAAAAATTGCACAAAGGATAAAACTGATCCGCACTGCAGTTCTCTGGAGCTCCCAAAATTTTAACGACACCACAAAACAGAACTTTTGGTAATAAAAATAAAAATTCGTGAGCTCCAAAGAACTGCAGTGCGGATCAGTTTTTAACTTTGTACAACCTTATTAGTTTATATCAATATTTCTGATAAATTCAGGTCACAATCTTATCGTAAGAGCTAGAAAAAATAGTAATTGTGACCATTTTAGAAGTGAAATTAAAGTGGGACTAAACCCAAACTCCTCTCATGAACACATTTCAAATTCTCCTTATTCCATCCTGTCCAACATTGTCTCTAAATTCTCCTAAACTGCGCTATTAAAACAAGCTGAAGGATGACGGCGAAGTGCACGACAGCTTCCGGAATGAGGTGAATAGAGCTGAAAATTTGGGCAGTAAAATTGAGGACTAAAAGAAAAAAAGAGTGAGGGGGGAGGATGAGCAGGATCGGAAGGTTTGGAAGGAACATGACTAGATTTAATTCCTTTTCACACTTCGTAAGAACATAAGAACTTTATTCTTGCACCCAGGGCCTGTCAAACTAAACTTGGTTGGTCCAGCTCCTGTTGTTCTTGCGGTTTCTTCTCGACACCTCAGCTGAGCAGAATTTTGTTGGGCAGTTCAGAAGCGTTGTCGCACATCTACTCTCTGATCGGTTCCTCATGTGGGCGTGGTTTATCCACTTTTCTTGCTGGTACAGAGCAAGAAAAAAAATAAAAACATCTGTACGACACGATGCTCAGTGACGATAAAAAAGCCAAATGGCAAGAAATTTATGGAGGGAAATCACGGACATTTTAGGCTCGGACGAAAATCTAAAGTGTAGAAAAGTCTGGAGTCTGTCTCTGTGACAAGTTTGTGAAAGACAAAAGGCGGGTCACCAAAAACAAAAGAGCGGTCAGGCTGAAAGACAAAAAGAATTGCCCTCGCTATATACCACAAGGGGCGGGGCAGAGCGAGGGGGCGGAGCGAGGGGACAGAGCGAGGAGGGGGCGGGCAGAGCGAGGGGTGGGGTGGAGCGAGGAGGGGACGGGGCAGAGCGAGGAGGGGGCGGGGCAGAGCGAGGGGGCGGAGCGAGGGGACAGAGCGAGGAGGGGACGGGGCTGAGCGAGGTGACGGGGCAGAGCGAGGAGGGGGCGGGGCAGGACGAGGAGGGGACGGGGCAGGACGAGGAGGGGATGGGGCAGAGCGAGGAGGGGAGGGGGCGGAGCGAGGGGATGGGGCAGGACGAGGGGACGGGGCAGGACGAGGAGGGGACGGGGCAGAGCGAGGGGTGGGGTGGAGCGAGGAGGGGACGGGGCAGAGCGAGGAGGGGGCGGGGCAGAGCGAGGAGGGGACGGGCAGAGCGAGGGGGTGGGGTGGAGCGAGGAGGGGACGGGGCAGAGCGAGGAGGGGGGGCGGGGCAGAGCGAGGAGGGGACGGGGCAGAGTGAGGAGGGGACGGGGCAGAGCGAGGGGACGGGGCAGAGCGAGGAGGGGACGGGGCAGAGGAGGGGACGGGGCAGAGGGAGGAGGGGACGGGGCTGAGCGAGGGGACGGGGCAGGGGAGGAGGGGACGGGGCGGAGCGAGGGGACGGGGCAGAGGGAGGAGGGACGGGGCGGAGCGAGGGGACGGGGCAGAGGGAGGAGGGACGGGGCGGAGCGAGGGGACGGGGCAGAGGGAGGAGGGGACGGGGCAGAGCGAGGTGACGGGGCGGAGCGAGGGGGTGGGGTGGAGCGAGGAGGGGACGGGGCAGGACAAGGGGACGGGGCAGAGTGAGGAGGGGACGGGGCAGAGCGAGGTGACGGGGCAGGAAGAGGGGACGGGGCTGAGCGAGGTGACGGGGCGGAGCGAGGGGGTGGGGTGGAGCGAGGAGGGGACGGGGCAGGACAAGGGGACGGGGCAGAGTGAGGAGGGGACGGGGCAGAGCGAGGTGACGGGGCAGGAAGAGGGGACGGGGCTGAGCGAGGTGACGGGGCGGAGCGAGGGGTGGGGGTGGAGCGAGGAGGGGACGGGGCAGGACGAGGGGGTGGGGCAGGACGAGGAGGGGACGGGGCGGAGCGAGGTGACGGGGCAGAGCGAGGAGGGGACGGGGCAGAGCGAGGGGACGGCGCAGGACGAGGAGGGGACGGGGCAGGACGAGGTGACAGGGCAGAGCGAGGGGACGGCGCAGGACGAGGAGGGGACGGGGCGGAGCGAGGGGGCAGTTCAGCAAGTATGAAATGTCAGAGCCCAAACAAACTTTGTTCTTGTTCTTATCACCTCAAGAACAACTGTTTTCATGTTCTTATGAAGTATGAATAGGCCTTGAGGTGTTTTTGACCAGAAAACTGCTAATTTACCAAGTTTCCAGTCACTTAAAAATGACAAGGATCATAGTTAATACAATATTAAAAACCTATATATATATACACAGTTTACTAGTGAAAAAAGCAAAGTTAGTGTTGAGTTCCCTTATATTAGATTATTTTCTGAGTTTTAAGCCATGTTCTAATTTAATGTTCTACTCAAAAACAGACCTGGAGTTGTGTTTTGTTTCATTCACATGTTTGAGTAACTCTTTATTATGAGTCTGTCTACATCTCCAAAACTCAAAATGCTCTATTCCACCTTGTGATGTCATGAAGTGGTAGTTTTCAAGTTAGAATCTAGCCACCTTTTTTTTTTCTCTTTCATTCAGTAGAGATCCGCAATTCCAGAGCTGAAATGATCCAGATGATTCTAGTGAAGGTGTATGGAGTTTAAAAACGCAGTGGAGCACTTCCTGTATTACGATATCCATATCTCACGGTACGATATTTATTGCGATATTTTAGAGCTTTAGATATTTTTGAGAGGCTGGTAATTTATTTTAATGTTTTTGTTTTTTTTTTCATGCATAACTTTTTGTTTTTAAAATAGCAAGCGCAGACTTTTGGTACAAATTATTACTGTCTTAATCCCAAAAATTAAAGTAATATTTTACATATTTCTTGATGTCTGCACTGAAATGAATCATGGGATATGTAGTTCCCTGTGTTTATTCGCTGTTGCTACTATTTGTATGTAAATAAGAGTCCATCACCTGCTCATCTTCACGTAGATCTACAAATTATTGTTCACTCATTTATTTCATCTCGTTTACATTTTTATAATTAAATTTTTAAATTTTTTTTAGATTTTTTCATGCTGATCTTGAAATTACTGTTCTCTCTATTTCATCTCGTTCATATTTTTGATTTTCTTTATATTTTTTATTTACTTTTTTTTTTTTTTAGATTTTTCCATAATGGTTGAAGTGATTGTTCACTCTTTTATTTCATCTCGTTTAGATTTTTGTAGGTTTTTTTTTTTTTTCAGATTTTTTTTCATGCTGATATTGAAATTATTGTTCATTCTATTTCATCTCGTTTAGATGTTTATAGTTTTTTTTTATTTTTTTTTAGATTTTTTTCATGCTGATCTTGAAATTACTGTTCACTCTATTTCATCTCGTTCATATTTTTGTAGGAATTTCTTTACATTAAAATTTTTTATTTTATTTTTATTTATTTTATTTTTTTTCATGCTGATCTTGAAATGATTGTTCACTCTTTTATTTCATCTTGTTTAGATTTTTGTAGTTTTTTTTTTTTTTCATGCTGATCTAGAAATTATTGTTCACTCTATTTCATCTCGTTCATATTTTTGAAGGAATTTCTTTACATTTTAAATTTATTATTATTATTTTTTAGATTTTTCCATACTGATCTTGAAATGATTGTTCACTCTTTTATTTCATCTTGTTTCGATTTTTAGAGGATTTTTTGTTCACTATTTTATTTCATCTTGTTTACATTTTTAGAGGATTTTTTAAATATATTTTTTTTTGATTTTTTCATGCAGTTTTGTTTTTTGTTTTTTTCTTTGTCTGCACTGAAATGAATCATGGGATATGTAGTTCCCCGTGTTTATTCGCTGTTGCTACTATTCACCTTATTCCGGAAGTTGCCGTGATTCGGGTTGTATTATTTTCTATGTAAATAAGTTCTACACGGACGATAAAGCCGTTTTAAAGCCTCCACAGAATCAGCGCAGTGTGACTTGTTGTTGCACATGAACATTTTACACGAACGAATCGACTTTATGTCATAGTTAAGATGCATTCTCCATCGGCATGAATGGGATTCCCGTTTAACCGGAAATGCCACCACAAAAAGCCGTTTAGGAGCATTTAGAGACAAAAGTGGGCGGAATAATGTGGATAAAACAAAGCATTTAAGCAAAGGAAGTTGTAATTCGATATACTGCGATGGCCCAAGACATTATTATTACATCACAAGGTGGAAAAGAGCGTTTTCTCAGCATAAATAAGCAAGATTTGGAAGCAGTGTTTGGAGCAACGCGTTAAAATAGTAACATGTTCCTGTCATACGTTGCTTTTTTCTGTAACACAGTAATTTAAGGCATTACAGGGAAAAATGTTAATATTTTACTCGGTACAAATGTGAGTATCGTGTGTCACAATGCTTTTTTAACCTGGTTGAATTGGTGGGTTTTTCGTTTTTCTTCTGACAAATTTGCTAAAATCACGGTGATATCAGCAGCGGTAAAACGCCATCGTTACGGTTGCGAGTGTCGGGACGGGTTCGGAGGTACCGACGCAGATATAGTCCATGTTCAGTCCTGGGTTTAGTCCATGTTTAGTCCTCGGTTTAGTCCATGTTTAGTCCTCGGTTTAGTCCATGTTCAGTCCTCGGTTTAGTCCATGTTTAGTCCTCGGTTTAGTCCATGTTCAGTCCTCGGTTTAGTCCATGTTCAGTCCTCGGTTTAGTCCATGTTCAGTCCTCGGTTTAGTGTTCCTGGGTTTAGTCCATGTTTAGTCCTCGGTTTAGTCCATGTTCAGTCCTCGGTTTAGTCCTGTTCAGTCCTGTTCCATGTTTAGTCCTCGGTTTAGTCCATGTTCAGTCCTCGGTTTAGTGTTTTCAGTCCTGGGTTTAGTCCATGTTCAGTTCTCGGTTTAGTCCATGTTCAGTCCTCGGTTTAGTCCATGTTCAGTTCTCGGTTTAGACCTGTTCAGTTCTCAGTTTAGACCTGTTCAGTTCTCGGTTTAGTCCATGTTTAGTCCTCGGTTTAGACCTGTTCAGTTCTCGGTTTAGTCCGTTCAGTCCTGGTTTAGTCCATGTTCAGTCCTCGTTTAGTCCATGTTCAGTTCTCGGTTTAGACCTGTTCAGTCCTCGGTTTAGTCCATGTTTAGTCCTCGGTTTAAGTTCAGTCCTCGGTTTAGTCCATGTTCAGTCCTCGTTTAGACCTGTTCAGTCCTCGGTTTAGACCTGTTCAGTCCTCGGTTTAGACCTGTTCAGTCCTCGTTTAGACCTGTTCAGTCCTCGGTTTAGTCCTGTTTCAGTCCTCGTTTAGACCTGTTCAGTCCTCGGTTTAGACCTGTTCAGTCCTCGGTTTAGACCTGTTCAGTCCTTTTAGTTTTCAGTCCTCGGTTTAGTCCTGTTCAGTCCTCGGTTTAGTCCATGTTCAGTCCTCGGTTTAGACCTGTTCAGTCCTCGGTTTAGTCCATGTTCAGTCCTCGGTTTAGTAGTCCAGTGTTCAGTCCTCGGTTTAGTCCATGTTCAGTCCTCTCGTTTAGTGTTCAGTCCTCGGTTTAGTCCATGTTTAGTCCTCGGTTTAGTCCATGTTCAGTCCTTGGTTTAGTCCATGTTCAGTCCTCGGTTTAGTCCATGCTCAGTCCTCGGTTTAGACCTGTTCAGTCCTCGGTTTTAGTCCTGTTCAGTCCTCGTTTAGACCTGTTCAGTCCTCGGTTTAGACCTGTTCAGTCCTCGGTTTAGACCTGTTCAGTCCCGGTTTAGACCTGTTCAGTCCTCGTTTAGTCCAGTCAGTCCTGTTTAGACTGTTCAGTCCTCGGTTTAGTCGTTCATGTTTAGTCCATGTTCAGTCCTCGGTTTAGTCAGTCCTCGGTTTAGACCTGTTCAGTCCTCGGTTTAGTCCATGTTCAGTCCTCGGTTTAGTCCATGTTCAGTCCTCGGTTTAGTCCATGTTCAGTCCTCGGTTTAGACCTGTTCAGTCCTCGGTTTAGTCCATGTTCAGTCCTCGGTTTAGACCATGTTCAGTCCTCGGTTTAGACCTGTTCAGTCCTCGGTTTAGTCCATGTTCAGTCCTCGGTTTAGTCCATGTTCAGTCCTCGGTTTCAGTCCTCGGTTTAGACCTGTTCAGTCCTCGGTTCATGTTCAGTCCTCGGTTTAGTCCATGTTCAGTCCTCGGTTTAGTCCATGTTCAGTCCTCGGTTTAGTCCTGTTCAGTTCTCGGTTTAGACCTGTTCAGTCCTCGGTTTACTCCTTGTTTAGTCCTTGGTTTAGACCTGTTCAGTTCTCGGTTTACTCCTTGTTTAGTCCTCGTTTAGTCCATGGTTTAGTCCATGTTTAGTCCTCGGTTTAGACCTGTTCAGTTCTCGGTTTAGACCTGTTCAATTCTCAGTTTAGTCCTGTTCAGTCCTGGTTTAGACCTGTTCAGTCCTCGGTTTATCAGTTCTTTAGTCCTTTCAGTGTTTAGTCCATGTTCAGTCCTCGGTTTAGACCTGTTTCAGTCCTCGTTTTAGTCCATGTTCAGTCCTCGGTTTAGACCTGTTCAGTCCTCGGTTTACTCCTTGTTTAGTCCTTGGTTTAGACCTGTTCAGTCCTCGGTTTAGTCCATGTTCAGTCCTGTTCAGTCCTCGGTTTAGACCTGTTCAGTTCTCGGTTTAGTCCTGTTCAGTCCTTAGTCAGTTTAGTCCATGTTTCAGTCCTTGGTTTAGACCTGTTCAGTTCTCGGTTTAGTCCATGTTCAGTCCTGTTCAGTCCTTGGTTTAGACCTGTTCAGTCCTCGGTTTAGTCCATGTTCAGTCCTCGGTTTAGACCTGTTCAGTCCTCAGTTTAGTGTTTCAGTCCTGGTTTAGACCTGTTCAGTCCTCAGTTTAGTCCATGTTCAGTCCTCGGTTTAGACCTGTTCAGTTCTCGTTGTTTAGACCTGTTCAGTCCTGTTTCAGACCTGTTCAGTTCTCGGTTTAGTCCATGTTCAGTCCTGTTTCAGACCTGTTTTAGACCTGGTTTAGTCCTGGTTCAGTTCAGGTTTAAACCTGGTTCAGTCCTCGGTTTAGTCCGGGTTTAGTCTTCGGTTTAGTCCGGGTTCAGTCCGGGTTTAGTCCGGGTTCAGTTCTGGTTCAGTCCTCCTGGTTCAGACCTGGTTTAGACCTGGTTTAGTCCTGTTTCAGACCTCCTGGTTCAGTCCAGTTTTAGTCCTTTTTTAGTCCTGGTTTAGACCTGGTTTAGACCTGATTTAGTCCCAGGTTAGTCCTGGTTCAGTTCTAGTTTAGTCCTGGTTTAGTCCTGGTTTAGTCCATGGTAAAAATTCTTCAGTTCTTTTGTTGACAGTAACTTAAAGTGCTGCAGTAGTCGTGTAACGTTTTACATTTTAAACACAGTAATATTGTAATTTAACAAATCACTTTAAAATGACAGTGACAAGTAATAAATAAATAACACATTACAGTTTTGAAGTCACTTGCCCAACAGTGAATATTTGTGTGTAAAAAGCGTGAATGAAACAAAACACAACTCTGGGTCTGTTTGTGATCAGGAAACTACATTTGAACCGATCAGAAAATACCGTAATATTGGCTCTTTAACTCTAAAATCTGAAACCGTGACCCTTTTTTTTTTACCTGAGGATAAGCTGGATTTGTTCATTTTCCCGTGCACCAGTCCGCCCAGTCCTCCCATGTTCTTCTTCAGTTTGATCCCCAGAGTTTTGCTGAAGCTTCCCAGTTTGTTGGCCACGGAGTCGGAGCGGCTCTTCTCTTTGTCTTTGCGCTGTTTCTCTTTCTCTTTGGTGGGTTTGATGTTGATGTTGGAGTTGCTGCCCACAGACTCTCGGTCCGACTCCATGGACTCGGCCAGAGACTGGACGTCCTCCCCGGCAGAGGCGGTGGGAGACTCCGGCTGGGCTAAAGGCGCCTGGGGGACACAAAAAGAACATGTGAGTAAAGAGAAAGAGAGTTTAAAAGCATTAACATTGGTAAATAAATCAAAATCACAGTTTGAGTTTTTTTGATGGAGAATCCGTCACCTGCTCATCTTCATGTAGATCTAGAAATGATTGTTCTTTTTCTTTTTTTTTTTTTACTTTTTTTTTTCATGCTTATTTCATTTTGTTTAGATTTTTGTAGGTTTAAAATTTTTTTGTTTTTTTTTTTCATGCTGATCTTGAAATGATTGCTCACTCTTTTATTTCATCTCATTAAATTATTATTATTATTTTTTTTTTTTTTTTTAGATTTTTTCATGCTTATTTTATTTTGTTTAGATTTTTGTAAATTTTTTTTTTCATGCTGATCTTGAAATAATGGTTCACTCTTATTTAATCTCGTTCATATTTTTGTAGGATTTTCTTTTAATTTTTAGTTTAGTTTTTTTTTTTAGATTCTTCCATACTGATCTAGAAATAATTGTTCACTCTTTTATTTCATCAATTTTAATATTTTTTTCATGCTGATCTTGACTTGTTCACTCTGTTTCATCTCGAAATTGATATGACTTTTCACTTTTTTATTTCATCTTGTTATTTTTGTAGAATTTTTTTTTAGATTTTTTATTTTTTTTTTTTTTAGATTTTGCCATACTGATCCTGAAATTACTTTTCACTTTTCCATTTAATCTTGTTTGGATTTTTTAAGGATTCTTTTGTTCACTGTTTTATTTCATCTTGTTTAGATTTTTGTAGAATTTTTTAGAATTTTTTTTAGATTTTTTTTTTTTTTTTAAGATTTTTCCATACTGATCTTGAAATGACTGTTCACTGTTTTATTTCATCTTGTTTTGATTTTTAAAGGATTTAAAACTTTTTTTTTCTTAGATTTTTCAGGCTTATCTTGAAATTATTTTTGAAGGATTCTTTTGTTCGCTCCTTTATTTCATCTTGTTTAGATTTTTGTAGGATTTTTTATTATTTTTTTTAAGATTTTCATGCTGATCTTGAAATGATTGTTCACCACCTTTTTTTTTTTTTTTTCATGTTGATCTTGAAATGAATTTTAATTATTTTATTTAATCTTGTTTGGATTTTTAAAAATTAATTTTTTTTTTTTTTTTTTTTTTTTAGATTTTCATGCTGGTCTTGAAATGATTGTTCACTCTTATTTCCATCTTGTTTAGATTTTTGTAGGATATTTTAAAGATTGCATTTAGATCTTTTTATTAGATTATTTCATGCTGATCTTGAAATGATTGTTCACTCTTTTATTTCATCTCGTTTAGATTTTTGTAATTCTCTTTTTACTTGTTTTAAAAGCTGCTGCGACTTACACAAAACGCGGCTGCAGGTTTTTAACAGGAGCTGAAAGACAAACACACGTCCCACCAGTTTTATCTTCACTGCTCTGACTTCCTGTTAAGTTCCGTGTTGATTTTAAAATCTTGGTTTTCACTTACAGAGCCCCAGTACGTCAGTGACTTACTGCTCCCCTGCACCTCAGGTCACAGCCCCCGGTCCTCAGGTCAGGGCCCAAAGACCCCATTTAAAACTCAGGGGGGACGTGAGCTTTCAGGCTGCGGCCCCCAAATGATGGACTCACAGACCCTAACCCTCCGTGAGGCAGAAACTACAGACTCTTTTAAACAACAGAGATTAAGACACAATTCTTTAGACAAGCTTTTAGTCGACTGTGTAATTCTTCTGTTCTTGTGCATGTTGTCCACTGCTCTGTAAAACACTTTCTGATTTTTATTTTTTTTTATCTGTAAAGGTGCTACAGAAACTTACTAGATGTCATTTCTTTGTCTAGAATGTTCCTACAGTATCTAGCTCAAGAGAGACAGCTATAGCTACTTTACAGATCAGATCTGTGGAGTGGCGGCCATCACAGTGAGAATTATTTTATTTCTGAGCAATAAAAACACATGGGCCCGGTCAAGCAGAAGTAAACATCAAGGCCAAAAATTCAAGTAAATTCATCTGATATAAAAATGTATTGAACAGATACATATGTACTCTAGTTTATGAAACTGTTGACCTTTTTTCTGTACCATTTTTGGTTCTAAAGTTCCATACGTTTTAAACAGACCATGTATGAAACATGGAACAAAAATTATTTCCCAAATTTCAAAGACCTGCAAATCATGTAAATAAATGGATGTATTTCATCATATCTTGTGTTATTCCATCTTTGAACTGTTGATGAAGGTACAGGATTTTTACAAAGAAATGTATATAAAATGATAAAAATTTGCTTGGAAGGACTGACATATTTTATAGTTTCATTTTGAAGTAATATTAAAATATTCGGAAGAAAAAAGTTGACAAATGATGTAAAATCCTGCACCTTCTACTTGTTTGTACAATTTTCCCTCCGTTACTTTTCCCTCCGTTACCATGACCTTTCTTAATAAAAAATCTCATGAGTCAAAAAGTAAGAGGTTTTTCATCCTAATCTTGTCCCATTGGTATAAAACTATATGAAGCAAATATTCAAACCAGTTTGTTAAGGATATGTAAGTGACAACCAAGAGTTATCACTGTTTGGATTTATTGTTCAAAAAGTGCTGCATATTTCATTCCCTCCGTTACCGATATGAGTTTTTTCAAATTTTTTGATCAACAACTTGAAAGAATCTCACAGGTTTAACTTGACCCTGTTGGAGTGTAACTCTTTCCTACATTCTGATACTTTACTTATTTCAATAGTTCCTCTAGTTTCTGAATAAGAGACATTTGAATGTCAAAAATCTGCCCCTGTTTCCCTTCCGTTACCACTTGACCAAACCCATATGTAATGAAAAAAAAGAAAAATAAATCTGAATAGAGATGTATATGCATGTGTGTAAAAGTAGATCTATTTATCTGTGTGTATATGTATGTATATATATAAACACTGTATATATAAATGACAGGAGTAATGACAATGATATTATTATTGTTGTTAATATTGTATCATTATCATTTGTATTTTATTGCATCGTCCGTATAAGATTTATTCTAAGATGACGATAAACAATAAAGAAACACGTGTAATGAATAAATGCTAGACAGATGTGTTTAATGTCATACCATGGAACATTCCAGGCAAAGCAAGAACAATAACATCTCCATGGAGACCAGCAGGCTTCTTTATACAGTCCATCAGTCCGTGTTTATGTCACTTTTTATGTAAAGTAGGTCACGTGATTGTCTCATGGAGATGTACTCCTTTGCCATAAATATACCTATTTAATTTAATTTTATTTATTTGTGTTTTATTTATTTTAAATTTTTATTTATTTATTTCATTATTTTACTGCATTCTACATTTTATTTGTTTATTTTATTTTATTATTTTTTCATGTTTTATGTTGCTTTTTTTTTTTCTAAATTATTGCACTTTATATTTTATTTTCTCTATACACCCCCGCAAAATTATGCTCAAGAATTCAAATAATTAAAAATAATAATTCGACATAATGGAATTCTAATTAATAATATAAAACTGCTAAATGAATGACGACAAATTAAATAATAAAATTTAAACCAATAATATTAAATGTGATAAATGAATAGGATAATAAAAAAGAAGGGAAGACGTAAGAATTCTGCATGATTAAATGAATAAAAAGGGGCCTAGAAATTATAGGTAAAATAAAATATTCAGAGAAAGAAACTATATAAATGGATATGTGGTCACACTAGGAAAACATGTATGGATAAAGTTATTTTGTGATTATTTTATACACTTGGTCACCTTAAGAAAATAAAAAAAGAAATGTTCCACAGCAATAAAACACTCCTAAAAAAATAACCTGTTGTGTTTTGAGAGTCTAGAGTTTAATCTCTAATTTCTCTGGACTCTTCCAAACAAAGCGACGAGACCGAGACTGATTCTTTTCCGTGGATAAAACCAGAAGTTTCGTCCACACTAATTTAACTCGAGTGAATAAATGAGATGTAAGGCGGCAGAGTTACATAAGAATGACTCTGAGGTGTGAGAACATGTGGAACGTGTCTGCGCTCGACCCGTGACGACCGGGGCCCCGCAGAGACCCGGACTCACCCTGGTCTCCGACGGGATCCGGATCCACGTTACATTCATGTAGTTGTGCAGCAGGTTCAGTTTGGCTTCCAGAGACAGGATCAGTCTGCGAAAACACGAGGAGAGTTACCGACAGGACGCACACGCTCGATCGGAAAAGCAGAAAATTAGAAGTTATCAGCAAACACAAAGGGTTTTTTAAAGAGCCACTAAACACCAACGTCACTTTTTTCTACAGATTTAAGCTACGTCCACACGACAACACTCCTGGATTTTTTCTTTTATGGGCTGAAAAAAATTTGCGTCCACACACGTCGGATCAATAAATATTCACGTTTAGACGACAACAGAGCACTGAGTGAAAACAGTGTAATACATCTGCCACACCTGTATGTGGCGCTGTGAACAATGATAATAATATTAAATAATGCAGATCTCATCACTGTTTTATTTAAACTTCAAAGTCATTTAATTGATGTTAGATGTGTCCCAGAAATATCGGTGTTTCGTTTTGCAAAAGTTAAACAGAAGTTTTCGTCCGACCGTTGGTCACTTTTCGCCAAAGGTCCACAGAGGCGAGTTCGAGGGCTACGACGTCATCGTTTTCTAAAAGCTGCGGTTTGTTTGTCCATACGAGAAAGCGACGCCGGTGTTCTCAGATTTCTCCACTCTGGAACCTGTTCTCAAAAAACACAGTTTTCGCCCACATAAAACGACGGCTCCGGTTTTGGCGTTGGACGAAAGGCCAAAACTAACACAAACTTCACAGTCTCGACCAAAAAATGTTGTCGTGTGGACAGGCCTTAAATCTACTGTGTAAATGGGTCTAAATGTAAGTGTAGACTTGTCCCTGGAATATTTTGGCATCTGAGTTCATATTTGTTAAAAATCTGACTTTTGGGTCTGTGATTGGATCTTTACGATCAATAGAGCTTTTTCACATCAGCCTGAAGTGTCTCGCTGTAGGTTTGTAGAACTTCCGGTTAATGGTTTTCTGTGGCAAAACGTGTGTGTAAATGTGTGTGTAAATGTGTGTGTAAACGTGTGTGTAAATGTGTGTAAACGTGTGTCGTTCTCCAGCTGTTTCATAAATCTGCCCCATCAACAAATTTTCAACCAACAAACTCCACAAAGGATAAACATTCTAACATGAACAAGAGAAGAAAGACAAAAACTTAAAGGAAATGACGATGACGCATTAGTCACACACTGAACAAAACTAACATTATGTAATGAATAACGTAAGTAATAAGTAATTCTATAATAAGTAACTTGTTAACTCAGACTGAGTCTAGAATTATAATTAAAAATTGATTTCATGATGTGGATATTGGCATAGCCAGATAGATTTGTGCAGTTGGAAAGCCACAGATGTTCACAGATCACATGTCTAACATTTAAACTGCACAAATCTCTCTGTCTATGCAAATATTAAATACATTTTTTTATTTTAATTGTAGAATCAGTCTGAGTGAACAAGTTCCTTCTGTTTTATTCACGATCATAACGTTATTTTTTTTCAGTGTGTGACTAATGAGTTGTCATTGTTTCCTTTAAGTTTTGGTCTTTCTTCTCTTGATAGTTGTGGATAAATTCTTCATGTTAGAATGTTTATCCTTTGTGGAGTTTGTTGGTTGAAGATTTGGTGATGGGGCAGATTTATGAAGCTGCTGGAAAATGCGACACACATTTACACACACATTTTGACACAGAAAAACATTAACATAAGTGAAGTTCTACAGTGGGGCACATTTGCAGTTGTGAAAAAGGTCAACTACAGCCAGGACATTTGAGTTTTAGGGTTGCATGCAGCTTTCCTGAAACTCATTGGATGAATCGACAAAACCTGGACTTCAGTGACACCGAAACCATCCTGTCGAGATTCAGAAAGACCAGAATAATTCTAACTGGAACTGATGCTGAGTCTGACGACAGCGACACAGAAGAGTTTGCGTCGCTCTGTTTACCTCCGGAGGTCGAGGAGTTGCTCAGAAGTGACACCGAGGATGAAGAATTGAATGAATTTAGTGATTTGGTGTGAGATGGAGAGTTTGGTAAACTTGTTCTGTTGTTTATGTTATAGTTTATCTGAAGAACTGTTCATATGTGACGTTAACAGTCTTGTTTTTACTAGAACTTGACTTTCAATAGGAAATGTCGGTTCCTGGTCTCTGATTTTATAAAATACATTTCCCTTATACTTATATATGTTTTTTTCTTCTTCATTATGTATTTTTGCGACTTAAACTCCGCAGTGAGTGTCCAAAAAATACAGCAAGTCGACAATAAATGTGAAAAAAAGATGAATAACCTGATATACATTTTAAAATCTTGGCCAGATCAGGGAAATTTGCAGTGTACACTTTAGATTTACACTTTATCTTTCAAACCTCTCGTCTCTTTCTCGTGTATGAGTGACTGTAGGACTCACTTGGCGAGCTTGGCGTTGTCGTTGTCGTCCCTCCCCCACTCCCAGTCTTTCCCAGGGTCAACGGCGAAGTGGAGCGCCAGCAGCTTGTGTTCGGAGTCGGTCAGGGGAATAACAGCTGGAACACAGATTATCCTCACATGGTTAGTTCTGTTACATCTCCTCTACATTACAGACGCACGCTCAAACCCGAAGCTCGGCTAAACCTGAACCTTCAAACGGGAATTCTTACGTTGATAAAAATAAAAATAATAAACAGTAAAGGAGCTGTGCACAGACTGAAGTTATTTTTATTGACTGGAAATTCAGGCTTTAGATGCAGTTGTCAGATCTTTGCATTAACAGGAAACGTGCAGCAACTGTTTCCTCATCAAAAACACACCCGGAGTTCTTCTTTCAAACACAAAACGCTCTGTTCCACCTTGTGATGTCATATACAGGACGTGCTCTACAGTGTTTTGAAACTCAGTACAGCTCCAATAGAATTATTTGGATGATTTCAGCCCTGGAGTTTCCGATCTCTACTGAACTAACGGTAAAAGGAGCTGTTCGCTTGAAAACTACCGCTTCATGACATCACAAAGTGGAACAGGGCATTTTGAGCTTTGGAGATGTAGAGCAGAAGTGTTCAAACTTTTTTCATCAAGGGCCAATTTTCTAAACACAGACAAAGCAAAGGCTGATCAAGGGCTGTAGACTGGAGCTCAGTACAGTAAATAATTAATATATGTGCAGGTTTAATATGTTAGAATGAAACATCAGGCTTTATTCACGCTAAGATCCATAAAACCGACACTAAATATTAAATATTGGCTTTATCAAGGTAGATTTTCAAAAAAAACTTGTAATAAAAAGATACAAGGTAATTTGGGCCAATTCACTTAGAAGCCTGAGGGCCAAGAAAAATTTGTCTGAGGGCCACATTTGACCCGCAGGCCATAGTTTGGACATGACTGATGTAGACAGACTAAAGTGTTACTCAAACATGTGCGAAAGAAGATAAACGTGACTCCAGGTGTAGAGCTGGAAAAGCTGAGACACTCAAAAAGTAATTATTAAAATTATTAAAAGCTGAACATTGCAATTTACATATAAATAATACAATTCCAAACAACTAATACAGAGAAAAATACACAGTATAAAAATAAATAGTGCAAAAAGTACTACAGATACAATATCTATATCTGTATAATTATTTAGAGGACAAATCTTATAAAATTTCATGAAGACTTGTTTACAGTTTGTGGTTTTAAAGGAAGGGGAAGAAATCTAACTCTCCACTGACTCCTGGAAGTTGGAAAACCTTGAGTGTGTGGACTCCTGGTCACTCAAAAAGTACAAAATAATTAAAAGCTGAACATTGCAATTTAAACTAAAAGATATAAATAGTACAATTCCCAACAACTAATACAGAAAAAAATACATAGTATAAAAATATATAGTGCAAAAAATACAAAAGTGCTAGAGATACAACATGTATCATTTGTATAATATATTAGAGGGATAATCTCAAACACTTTCATGAAGACTTGTTTAAAGCTTGTGGTTTTAAAGGAAGGGGGAGAAATCTAACTCTCCAATGAGTCCTGGATATTGGGAAGCCTTCAGCGTGTAAACTCCACTTTTTGTTGAGGTAACAACATTATAACTCACAAGAGTCAGTTTTGCGTAATATCAGACCTTTATCCATGAACATGATTGTTGGTAATTTTATGTTGTAGTTTTGGAGACTTTAAGTCTGTGTCATTCTCCATCTGCGATTCCTGAAAATCTTTAGGCAACTAGAACCATTATCCTGAGCAAAGACTATAAAAAAATGGACTCAGTGTGACGTCACCACAGTGTTTGTCCAGTCAAATGAAGCTCATTGAGGCTGCAGTTACAGGAGCAAATTTGGATCCAAGTTCCATATTTGGAATTTTGACCATGAATATCATAGCAACCAAAGAGCCAATCAGGAGCGAGGTTGTTGAAGGTAACTGGTTCAGCAGGGAGCGGGTTAAGCAACGCTGTCAATCAAACCTGTTACTAACTTAGACTTAGTCAAACTTTATTGATCCACAAGGGAAATTATTTGGCCCCTAACGCTGGTAGGGGCGACCTCAGGGGAAGGAAGGCACCTTTTCTGTCTGTTGTTAATGTTCATATCTTGATTTTCGAACAAAATGGCAAAATAAAAACCCCAGGATCATGCCGAGCGAGTAACTACAAAGATTTTAAGACCAAAATAAGGATTCTAACAGCAACAGTTACAGAATGAGCGACGTTTGTTCAATAAAAAGTAAACTGGAGCCAAAGGAATGTCCGTTTATAGACACTGTGCGGTCTTAATAATTTTGTAATTTCTGGTAATAGATTAAATTACAAAATATCTCAGTAATAAAGACTTTTTAAAGAAACTCCAGAGTTGTACTAAGTGGTTTCAAAAGGTGCATTAACTGTAAGAATGTGTACGCTCTTGTGCTCAGAACGAGATCGCCCGTTTAATAGACAATAGACAATATAATTACATATGGAGGAACAGTCCTTATTAATTAATGGTCTGTAAGTGCTCGGAGAAAGATGTTCCAGTGAACGTCCTGAACTCTCAGACGGATCAGAGACACACAGAGACGCTGTGGCTGCTGGGTGGTTGATAGAGTAAAACACAATAAACTATTTTTGAAGTGAGGCTACGTTTATATGACGACCGTCTGAACAGAAGACGCAAAAGTGGCGTCGCGTCTTCACTTTTTATTCTGCGTTTAGACGAGCGATTTCAGGAGGAAAAGTGTGTGGAATTCGACTGTGTATGTTTGTACTTAAAGCAACAAGGGCGTCTTTGGACATACGGACATTTTCACGCTAGGGATGGGCATGATTAGTCGACTAATCGATAATTGATCGTTAAGAATTTCGCTGATTACGTTTATTTCTAATCGACAAACCGAATGTAGGTTTCTGTGCGTAGATATGAAGCTGCGTCTGACACAAACACTGGAGTTGCTTCCTCAGTCCCACGTTTGGGCTCTGGCACATCTCCATGGAGACGCTGTACCCCCCAGTGAGTGTGTTTACATGCACTTCTGTATCCCGGTTTTGTCATGGAGCATGTTTACGCAGTATCCAGGTTACTGCAACAAAAACAGCTGCACTAAACCTGCACATGTACAAGTACAAGTGCATTAAACACATTATTATAATGTCAAACGGGCTGATGTGGCTCTAGAGTCGTTATGGTTTATGTGTCGTAAAGTTGAGGTTATTTACGTAGATTAGTAACAGTAATAATAATGATGATACTTATTATATAAAAACGTTAATGATTAATCGAAAATCGATCGTTAATTCTCCCGACGATTGATTAATAAAATTTCATCGCCACACATTTTCATCAGCTACTCCTTCCACAAAGTCGTCTGACTCGACTGCGACGACCTGGTGCATCCAGAATTGGACAGAGGTGATTGCAGATCTTCTCTCTTCACTAATAGTGTCTCTGCAGATTCTCTACATTTGTTGGGAGCCTCCTGTAAGTTTATTATTTGAAGAGCCGATGCATGGAAATGATCTGACATGTTTGTTTCTGTGTACTGTATGTATTAGAGCCCGACCGATATATCGGTTGGCCGATATTATCGGCCGATATGGGCACCTGGAGGCATATTGGCTATGGGCCGATATGCTTGCTGATAGGGGCCGATATTTCACGTGGGCATGTTATACCTCGTTATAAATCTTAGACTCTCTACATTCTGTTCATTTAATCCAATTTACAGACAGATAAATGTCCTAATATGTGGCTCCACATCAGTATTTATCTACGGAGTCATTTGTCTGTGTGTGTGTCCGTACTGTCCCTGAACACACCACAGAGTCGCGTCACTCACGTGTGTTTGTTTACACCTGCAGACACAGATCCAAACACTGAGATTATTTTCTTTTTACGGACAATCGGTTTGAGTCTGAATTAAAAGGACATTTATTAGTGCAGATTTGTGATGTGGGAGGAGCCTGTGTGAGCGGTGAGTGTTGGAAATATGTCGACTCTGAAGCTAGTTTTTGTCATTTGTTATGGGTTAGCTGCTGTAGCTCTCGCACATAAACAGACTGTTTTCTATTGGTCTGTTCTAAAGTGATTATATTGGCCGTATATTTGTTACTGGACCTGCACTGATATGTAAATGAGCTGTGAATAGACGTGTGAATTATGACATTTGCGCATATAATTAATTACCGCGGCGCGCAGCATTTACGGCTAAAGTCTAATAGCAGTAGTTTATTTACTAGTTATGGGTCGGTCGCGAACGAAATGACTCTTAGAACCGACTCTTTGAAGCGAACAACGGGAGCCTGATCCTTATTGGGAGCCGTGTTTTCTCTTTCTCTCACTTTTTTCTCTTCACGCCGCGTGCAGACTCGTGGTTTGACAGCGGCAACGGCTGAAAACGAAACTTTGAGAAATTTGCGTGTACGTAGGATAAAAAAAAACAAAAAACGAGCATATTTGGCTGTAGTTTAGCATAAAATAAATAAGTCCCGGTTTAGTCCTTTTTCAGTCCTGGTTTAGACCTGGTTCAGTCCTGCTTTAGACGTGCTTTAGTCCTGCTTGCAACAAAACAATCTGAAGAGCCACTTGGGAGCCAAAAGAACCAGCAGCTTTTAGTGAGCCGAGTCAAAAGAGCCGGTTCTCTAAAAAGAACTGGAATCCCATCACTAGTGTCTAGAATGTGATGCAAAAATGCCATTAAGCCAACCTACTGTCTGTAAATATGATGTAAAGAGGCAGAATAACAATAAATGTTGCCTAAATAAACCCAATTTAAAATCCATCAGAGCCAAACCTAAGTTTTTTAAACAAATCAAGATTTACAGTGAATTTTTACATCACTAAATATATCGGCAGCTCCAACTCCCATTATATCGGTTTCATATCGGCCACAGCAAAATCCATATCGGTCGGGCTCTAGTATGTATGAGACATAAACCCGTACGCGACCTGAGCACATCTGACCAGAGTTTTGTGTCTTGGGCAGTGTGGACAGAAACACTACGGCGGAGCTTATTCAACTTTTCCACTCTGGAGGCTGGTTTCAGATTTTTGTGTGTTTAAACCCCAAAACACTATCACCGTCTAAA